TTTTTTTTGAGTCAGAGTCTCACTCGGTTGCCCAGACTGGAGTGCAGTGTCCGCTCCCGGCCACCGCAGCCTCAACCTGCTGGGCTCTGGCGATCCTTCCGCCTCAGCCTTCCAAGTAGCTGGAATTACAGGCACGCGCTACCACGCCCAGCTGATTTTTTGATTTATTGTAGATATGAGGTCTCTCTGCCCAGGCGGGTCTCAAACCCACGGGCTCAGGCAATCCACTCACCTCAGCCTCCCAAAGGTGCGGGATTACAGGCTGAGCCACTGAGCCCGGTTATTTAACGTTTTCTTATTAGCTGTGGGATCTTACGAAAGTTAATTCGCCACAAAGCATCTAGTTCCTCAATCTTTCGAAAGGTGATAATAAAAATTAAGGAAAATTGCTTATAGGTTTCAAGAAATGAAAAAAGGTCACATATATAGATAGCATCCAGCAGAATTCCTGGTATAGTGTAACTACCAGATAGATGTTCGTTACTGCTGTTTTCCATAGATTTTTCTCACTTGTGATCAAGAGCACGAGATCTTGGAACTAGACAATATATCAGTAAAATGCTCATGGCAGCAAGTAATAAAAACATAACTGTTTAAACAATTAAAAAACATATTGGCTTCCTAAATAAAAGTCACAAGGTAGGTAGGCTTCAAGATTGATTGATAAAACACTTTAATAATGTCATCAATAACAAGATTTTCTGTTGTTCTCTCTTCTTTTATGAGTGTAGATTAATCATATGCCTGGTCTCTCTGTTGTTTGTAGGATGACTATAGTAACACCCACATCTGGGAGGTGAGAGAGGGTGTTTCTTCAAGTCACATTCCACTACTGTGCAGTATGGATAACTCAAATTATGTCATATCTTCTTATACAATAGATACTGCCTCAGGAAAGCTTGACTCTGATTAGTTTAGGCCTTTATTTCTAAGTCAGTCAGCAGCAGAGAAGATGGGTTGTCATGATTACTAGGACCTACTTCTGTAGTTAGGGTGAAATTTGGGTATAGGGCATTAAACTTGATGTCCACAACTGAAAGCTTGAATTCCAGAACCTTACTTGCTATATCCTTGGGTAAGTTATATAACCTCGTGAAAACTCAATTTCTCTATCTGCAAGATGGGGATAGTAATAACATGAACTCCCAGGGGGTTTCAAAGATAAATTGAGATACTGAGCTGGGAGTGATGATTCATGACTGTAATTTCAGCACTCTGGGAGGCTGAGGCTAGAGGATTGCCTGAGCCCACAGGTTTGAGATCAGCCTGGCAACTTGGCAAGACAGTAAATCAAAAAATTAGCCAGGCATGGTGGCACATGCCTGTGGTTCCAGCTACTTGGAAGGCTGAGGCGGAAGGAGCCCTGCAGATTGAGGGTGTGGTGGCCATGAGCTTGCCACTACACTCCAGCCTGGGTGACAGAGTTACACTTTGACTCAAAAAAAAAATTGAGATACTGAAATAAATTTGAAAGCAAAGGCCTCCACAGAATGTATGGTATGTACTAAGAGCCCAATAAATGTTAATTATTGTTAATGTTGTTTATTCATCTATATAGTTTCATATTATAGCTGTTTTTAATTTGTCTTACTCTCTGGCTAAAATATTAGCTTTTGGGGGATAGGAATAACATTATTTTCATTTTTTTAATCTCCAAATTCTTACATGTAATAAGTATCCAACTAACTTCTTGAACAAATGAGTATCTGCCATCTGCTAAGTGGATGAATAAAAGTCTGACAGCAATAGAAGGCAGGGCTTTTTTGTTTGTTTGTTGGTTTGTTTGAGTTGGAGTCTCATTCTAACGTCCAGGCTTCAGTACTGTGGCATGCTCATCGCCACTGCAGCATCGACCTGCTGGGCTCAGGTGATCTTTCTGCCTCAGCTTTCCAAGTTGCTGGAACTACAGGCATGCACCACCACGCCTGGCTAATTTTTTTTGTATTGTAGAGATGAGGTCTTACCAAGTTGCCTAGGCTGGTCTTGAACCCAGGGGCTTGGGTAATCCTCTTACCTCAGCCTCCCTAAGTGTTGGTATTATAGGCATGAGTCACTGTGCCCAGTGAGAAGCCAGGTTTAAAAGAAAGACAACCATAAGGCGACTGGTTGGATTACAGATCAGACAAAATGGGCCCAATTGAGAGAGTATATTTGAGAGAAAATAATCTGAGACATAGAAAGGGTTTTCTCTGAAGATTAGAGTGGGTGCAGGCAGTGAGCAAACCAAATACAGTTTGAGTTCAGGATATATAGCTGAAAAAGCTTGTGATGCATTCAGATATTTTGTTTTATAATTTGATAAATAATAAATATTAAGATGAAACCCAGAAGAATGCTTACTGTGATCTAGAAGAGGTAGAAGAATAAATGTAATAAGAGCTACTATGTTCTTGATCTGTTCATGGCATTGTTATATTTCTCTTATATAAACTCATGTAATCCTGGAAAGCAACTCTTGAAGTAAGTGATAGTCTTTCTATCCTTGCTGACGTTTACAGATAAGAAAGAAAATCAAGCCCAGAGAGGCTAAGCAACTTGCCTAAATCAAATAGATAGTAAATAGCAAAGTTGAGACTTTTACCCACAGGAATTGACTTGTGAATCTGTGTGTTTAACCTTTACACTATACTGTATCTCTAACAAGATAGAAGCGTGCTCAGAGAAGCCATACTGCAATCCCAAGCCACCATGTACCCTAGAGTTAGTGGCCATGAAGAGCACCACAGGTCTCCCAGGTCACTGAGAACCACATGGCATATCCAAGAGTTCATGACATGTGTGATCCCTCTTGCCCTGACATTTTGTAATCCCCAGTATGTAACTCAATGGTTGTGGAGGGTGACAACTGAACAAACATTTGTTCAATGAATTGTTGTATGTCCCTTTTCGGGACTCTCAGGGACTCTTCATAGACTCTTTCAGGATTGTTGTTAAGCTAGAGAGAAAAAGCACAATAAGTTGTCTGAATGAAAGAAGTGCATCCAGAGGCTCTCCAAGGGAATTAGGGACTAGGGACTATCAAACTATCACTTTCCTCAAAAGGAATCTGCAGTCAAACAAAGATAAAGCCATTGCTAAGATGCTTTTATTTGTGGTTTAGCCTAGATCTGCCTTTGATCAGACTTCAAATGAATCCCTGTGTTTCCTCTCAGTTCCATGCACCATGTTGCTTTTGTGGTGAACTTCCAAGGGAGTCAGAACTTCACTCTTTCCAGAGAGCTGTAGCTCCCAAAAGTCAAGTTTGAAGAATCATATATAAACCACAATACAGGTTTCAGATTCAAATGTACAAATAAAGGGCAATATTGAAACAATGAAAGTGATTGTTAAGATTCTTGCACTAAATGGAATAGAATTGAGATTCCAGAAGCAAAACCTCAATTTCTCAACCAACTCATCTTCAACAAATCCTCTACCACCTACCACCAGGGAGAGGACAATCTATTCAGTAAACAGTCCTGGGAAAACTGGCTGACCACATGCAAAAGATTCAAACAGGACTCCATCTATCCCCATGCACAAAAATCAACTATAAATGGATCAGAGACCTAAATGTAAAACCTCAAGCCATAAAAACCTTAGAAAATGCAGGACACACCCTTATGGAAGTTGGAACTGGCATCCAATTCCTGAGCAAAAACCAAAATGCATGGGCCATAAGAGATAAAATAGACAAGTGGGACCTCATTAAACTGACAAACTTCTACAAAACCAAAGAAAACATCAAAAGAACAGGGAGACAGCCCACCGACTGGGAAAAATATTTGCCAACTCCATGTCTGACAAAGGCCTAACATCTAGGATCTACAAGGAACTCAAACGTGCTGAAGAGAAAAAAACAAACAAACAACTCCGTTACAAAATGGGCAAAAGACATGAACAGACACTTCTCAAAAGAAGACATATGAGTGGCCAACAGATACATGAAGGAATGTTCAACCTCACTAGTTGTCAAGGAAATGCAAAATAAAACTACACTGAGATACCACTTAACTCCAGTCAGAATGGCCATTATCAATAACTCAAAAAATAACAGATGCTGGAGAGGATGTGGTGAAAAGGGAACACTTCTACACCATTGGTGGGAATGTAAACTAGTGTAGCCTCTGTGGAAACCAGTGTGGCAATTCCTAAAAGCTCTAAAAATCAACCTTCCATATGACCCCACAATAACCCTACCGGGAATATACCCTGAAGAACTCAAATCACTCTATAAAAAAGATACCTGCACATGTATGTTTATCACAGCATTGTTCGCAATGGCAAGATCATGGAACCAACCATGCTGTCCATCGAAAGAGGACTGGATTAAAAAAATGTGGCATATATACACAATGGAATATTACACAGCCATAAAAAAGAACAAAATCATGAATTTTGCAGCAACCTGGATGGAATTAGAGCTTATAATACTGAGTGATCTCTCACAGAAACAAAGATCTGAGTATCACATGTTCTCACTCATAAGTGAACCTTGAACAACTATTGCAATACTATAAGAAAAGGATTGACAGTGGAGGGAAACTATGCGGGGACAGGGAGAGAAAGGGAGGTGGGATTAAAGGTAGTCAATATCTGTCAGGGGACAGGGGGGCACACCTCATCAACAAGGATACCTATACAATGCATATTTATATACCTAACCCTTAACTGTTCCCCGCAGTTTTAAAATAAAAAACATATATTAAAAAGAAAAGATTCTTGCACTAAAATTTCTTTGCTCACTGTAACTATGTAGTCTCATCTCTTAATTATTAAAATAGTTAATTTTAATAATTATTAATTTAAACTAATTAAAATCTTAATTATTAAAATAAATAGAGTATTTCCTTTGCTCTACAATGTTGAGCATTACTTGTTATTTATGAGGATTGTTCCAGAAGTCATTTTCATATTTAATAGATATTGGTGAAAGGCAGCATATTAATAAGTTGAACTTTTAAAAGAAGCTTTTAAAATATCACTGTACTTTACATACCTTTACAAGAAAATATTTTTAGCTTGCAGTTTCTGAAGAAATAAAATCAAAATTGCCTAAAAAGTTTCCCAGCTGAAGGAAAAACTAGAGGCTTTGAATCATATGGAAGCCAGTGGTGAATTATAAAAAATGTTCTTGTGAAAGACCAGGTATGTTGTAGAAGTAAAATCATCTTTATTTTTAAAGTTATATAATTTTATATAAACTGACAATTCTGCAAAGCTATATCAGTCTGCATTGGAAGTTCATGTTTTTACATTCATGTTGGTAAATAATAATATTTGTATTTACTGAAAGTAATTTTATTCCTTGGTGAATGTCGACATACAAAAATAATTTTGTTAATAGTAGTTTTAAAGTTTGTTTAATATGGATCCTTTTGAATAGTATTAACTGAAATAATGGATACTCTGTTTACTCTGTAAATGGTATTAACTGCACACGTGTTTCTTAGTTGTCAAGGTTGAACATTGAGGAATAGTTTATTTCTGTGTAGTAAGACAAGTAGGTAGTACCACTTTTTTTTTTGAGTTGGAGTCTCACTCTGTCACCCAGACTGGAGTGCAGTGGCCGCTCCCGGCCACTGCAGCCTCGACCTGCGGGGCTCCGGCGATCCTTCCGCCTCAGCCTTCCAAGTAGCTGGAACTACAGGCACGCGCTACCACACCCGGCTAATTTTTTTTTGTTTATTGTAGAGATGAGATCTCACCAAGTTGCCCAGGCGGGTCTCGAACCCGCGGACTCAGGCAATCCACTCACCTCAGCCTCCCAAAGTGCGGGATTACAGGCTGAGCCACGGAGCCTGGCTAGGTAGTACCACTTTGCATATGTTTTTAATCAACTACCTTATAAGAAATGATTAATCGCTGAACATTTACATATGTATCATTAAGTTTACCTCTTGTTAAACTAAAGGGGTTTGTATCTGCCTTTGGGATATATGGATATGTTTTTATGTGAAATTGTAATATATGTATGATATAAGGTGTTAGCACTAACTGTAGCACATTGAACTAACATTATTTTTCCCCAAACATTTTCTAGTTCTTAACACATTTGTATGTTTTGTCCTTGGGCTCTTACATAGAATGAAAGAGGAATAGGGATGAGAAGGATGATTTCTACAATGATGATCTTCAAAACTGTCTTCTAGCTGAGATAACGCTGCCATTCACAAAATTCAGGAACTGGTACATATTTATATGTGAATACTTTGAATATGTGAAAGGAAGAGTTATGCACTTGGTTTCTAAGCTTTTTCCTTTTTAGTGTATTGAGAAATTGCAAGCTGAAGTAAAAGCTTCTCAGGAGCAACTTACAGCTCATGTAAGTGTTTTCCTCTTTTTTCATCCCTTTATTTATATCATTGCCATCCTAGAAATGAAGAGAAATTTGCCAGAAGTTATAAATGAAGTTTGCCTGTGCAAACCAAATAACAAGGCTATAAATCAGAGTAGTTTTCATAAATAAAATCCTGATTTTTGCAGATGATAAAAATCACAAACCAACTCATATATAGTCAGATAGTCTAATCAGGTATTGTAAGGATAAGAGAACTGGAACTAAGAGCAGACTGTCAAAGAAGCCAGGCTAGTTTAGTGAATAGAAGTAGAGAGATATGGCAACTATTGACACATTGAATGTAGGTCTAGAGCAGTACTTGTTAAACTTTACTGTATGTAAGGATCACTCGGAAACCTTCTTAAAGCAAATTATCCAGAGATTCTGTTTTCTACATGCCTAGGATGGGCCTGGGAATTTGTACTTCTAGGTGATTCTAGATTCAAGAGATGTTTATGCTGCCAGTCTTTATATGACACTTTGCACAGCACTGCTTATCTATCTATCTATCTATCTATCTATCTATCTATCTATCTATCTATATCTATCATCATCATCATCTATCTACATTCTGCTCCAGTTTTGTGATTTTTAGGTAAGTGACCATGTAAAACAACTAGTACATAATTGTCCATTTTCTCCTGCAGGTACTCCCCTAAGAAAGACCACATTAATTTCTAGGGCAAATTTCACTTATACTCTAGCCTATGTTTACTCAGAAAACAACTCATGAGCATTTTCTGCCACAATGCCTTTATATATTCACACCCATAAGCCAGTCAACTTGCCACTGCTTCTTCCCAGATCTGAACAACCCTAATGACCTAGGCATCTCCTCAAAGACTTGCTTACCATGTTTTTCGTCATCTTGTCTATTCCCATTCCGGCTACTATGGGATGACTTCTAGTCATGTTAATGACCAGTCTTAACAACATTCAGATCCTCGGACAAACCTGAGACTTAAGAGGCTGCAGTTCAGACGATCTGCAGAAAACACTGGAAAAAAACAACAACTCTAATGACCATCCCTTTGTTGTTTCAATTGAACTAACTTGGGTAAAATCTTGGTAACTGCCCCATTTTAGTGCTGGAGAAGAGAAAAGTTAACATGCTGTGGCAGTTAGCAGAGCTTTTAACTAACTTCAGAATATTAATTGGCCTGAATGCTTAATCGACTAATATTGAAAATGACTAAAGCCTGCCTTTGTGGCATTGTGACACATTCCGACAGAAATATTTCTCATTAGCCCAGTGTTCTGTTGCAGTTGCCTCTCCCCTTGTTTGCCCCCAAGGATGTCAGATAATGACTATTGTCAGAGGATGTCGCCCCATGACAGATGAATACCTACAGCCATTCACATGGAGGGAATTTTGAGCTCAAAATTTTATAAGGAGAGCGGAGGTATTCACTAAGGTTCTGATATTAACTCCCAGCCTCTATTTATGAAAACAGATGAAAAAATTATAGCCACTGGTGCCTTAGAGAAATTCCTGTGGTGTCTTCTTTCATTGCTTAGTTTCTATGGATTCTGTCCCAGCACCCTGCCATGACTGCTTTAAGCATGTCTGAAATGGGATTGTGTCCTTGTATTAGGGTATTGATAGCAATGAGTGAGATTTCTCATATGTAATTGTCCAACATTTCACTTTTCAAGATAGCATTGAATTCATCAAGGTTGTACTTCAATTTATCAAGAAAAACGTAAGTGAAAACAATGTTAACAATAGTGTTTACTGAGAGTGGATTATATGTCTTCTATTTGGAAAGTGCTGCATGTATTATTTATTTTAAATTTCAATAAAACCCGACAAGATGAGCATTATTTTCCAGGTAAGAAAACTGAATCTTAAAAAGATTAGGTCACTTGTCACACTCCGAAACTCATGATTTTTCTGTTACAACTTGCTGCCTCTCCAAATTATATTCTCTACATGCCTCTTGAGGTGTTCAATGGCATTTATAAAGGTTCTATTTTCAATTCCTTTTTCTCTTTCTGTTCACTCTTAGTAATTCACCATTTCACAAGGCTCCAACTCTCACTCTCATGCAAATAAACGATAACCTTCATCGCCACTAAGTTCCTTCTATCTTAATCATCCCCAGATTAGAGAGCTCCTTAGGTTTTAATGAGCATTGTCCTTGGAGAAAACATTCCATAAGCTGCTAATAGATATTCTGAAAAAAAAAATGGTGAGTAAAGGAGTTGGAAACGAAGTTAAGTTAAATGGGCTTGTTTCTCACAGCACTTATCTATTTACAAACAAGGATCTTTCTTTTTACAGGTCCTTTCCCAAAGGTGTTTGATCATAAATGATGTTTTATAACAAGCAGGTTTGGCGACTACTGTCATATGGCATCAAATGGAAGCAGTCTGCTTCCTAAATATGACCTGAATTTATCTTGCTGACACCTCAGGCTCAGCATATACATAGTCAAATTTATTATCTTCTATTTTCAGCTCTTGAATGTTTCCCTGTCCATATTCTCCAGCCATAGAGAATAATATTACACTACTGTGATTTGTCCTAGATTCACACTAGAAAGCAGTTTTAAAATCCTGCATTTTTCTGCCACCATCTGGTTGTCAGGCCCTGAGTATGCTTCTACAAGTTATCGTGCTTCTGTGTCTTCTGTTCAATTACACTGCAACTTCCCTAGCTCTTTCTGATCGTAGAAGTTTTAATTAATGGGACTTGCTCTAAATTATCAACACATGTGAGTTTAGAGCCCTCCACTGGCCCCTTTTCCATCATAAAGTAGCCCACTTTCTCTGACACCATCAAGCACTGTTTACATAGAAGAGAAAGGATAAAAATCTATGTGTACAGGTTTAAAATGGGTGTAGAAAACCAAACAGAGCCAAAGTATAACATTCACATAGAGAATGTGATCTACTGGAGTGGCAGAGAAGAGAAAGAGGATTAAGGGACCAAGATGGCAGGACTGGAACACTGTAAGATGGGGAGAGGGTGCTCCTGGGATAAGACACTGAAAGACTCCTGAGAGCTCTGGAGATGCTGAAGATTCATAAGTAAATAGAAGTATTAATAAGAGTTGCCTGGCAGTATATACTTGAACTCCCTTAAGGGTTTGAGAGTTATGTGTAAGGTGTGTAATTTCTGCTTGGACTATGTCTTCTTAATGTAACATTGGCAGGACTTGACCTCTGTAGTAGTCTCTTGGTTTCCACCCTAAGTGAAGTTTTCAAAGCACTATCTCTGTCCTTCATCTCCTCTTCTTCCTTATTACCCTCTCTATGCCTCGGACTAAGCCCACTGGTAAAACAGAGCCTCTGTCTTTCGTTATATGCCCAGAATTCATTGATGCTCCCTGACTTTGCTCATAGTATTCTTTGGGACTAGAATATCCTTCTCTCTACTCTTCATTCAAATAACTCTTACTCTCCTTGCAAGACTCCTGTCAGGGACCAACTTCTTCTCCCTTAGGCCCCAGATCACTTTCTGAGAGTTCCCATAGCCCCCTTTAGGTACATCTATTTGAGCTTTTCATTTATTTATTTATTTTGTATTTTTTTTTAATTTTAAAGATGTGGGGTACAATTCAGGGTTAGGTATAAAAATGTTGATTATGCAGCTACCCTTGTTGATGAGTTGAGCTCCTCCCTTCCCTAGCAGTTTCTTTCAACTGCCAATCTCAACCCCTCCCTGGCAGTTTCCCACCACTGTCGATCTCTTTCTTATAGTATTATGGTAATTGTTCAAGGTTCGCTTATGAGTGAAAACATATGGTGCTCTGTTCTTTGTTTCTGTGATAGATCACTGAGTATGACTGACTCTAAATTCATCCAAGTTGCTGCAAAGTCCATATGCTTGTCCTTCTTTATGGCTGCAAAATATTCCATTATGTATATGTACCACATTTTTAAAATACAATCCAGCTTCCATGGGCAGCATGGTTGGTTCCATGTTTTTGCTATTGTGAATAGAGCTGCAACAAACATACGTGTGCAGGTGTCTTTTTTGTAGAATAATTTGAGTTCCTCTGGATATATTCCCAATGGGGAATTGCTGGGTCATATGGAAGGTCAATTTCTAGTTTTTTCAGAAATTGCCACACTGTCCTCCAAAGAGGTTGCACTAGTTTGCATTCCCACCAGTAGTGTTGAAGCATTCCTTTTGTATTTCTGATTGTGCTTATTTGGGCTTTTTCTCTCTTTTTCTTGTTCATTCTGACTAGGGGTCCATCAATCTTGTCGATTCTTTCAAAGAACCAGCTTTTTGTTTTGTTGATGTTTTCTATGATATTTTTGTCTTCTATGTCCCATATTTGGGCTCTTATTTTGGTCATTTGGATTCTTCTGCTAAAGTAGAGGTTTTGATGGTCTTTTCTTTCCAGCTCCCTTAGGTGATTTGTTAGGCTCTCAACTTCTGATCTTTCCTTTTTCTTAATGTGTGCTCATAGAAATATAAATTCCCCTCTTAGTACTAATTTCATGGCATCCCATAGGTTTTTCATTTTCATTTGATTCCAGGAATCTTTCGATTTCTGCTTTGATTTCAGTTTTGATCCAGTAGTTGTTTGGCATCTTGCTGTTTGGTGTCCATGTCTTTGTGGGCTTTGGGGAAATTTTTGTTGGTGTTGATATTTATTTTTATTCCACTGTGGTCTGAGAAGGTGCATGGCAATATTTTAACCTTATGGAATTTGTTTATGCTTGATTTATGGCCAAGGATGTGATTGATCTTGGAGTATGTTATTAGTAGAATGTATATTCTGTGGTTGTTGAGTGGAACAATCTGTAGGTATCTATTAAGTCTATTTGGTCGAGTGTCAAATTTAGGTTCTGGATCTCCTTGTTGATTTTTTGCCTCGATGATCTATCTAGGGCTATTAGTGGAGTATTCAAGTTCCCTGCTATAATAGTGCTAGTCAATATCTTTTTTCAGTTTACTTAGTAGTTTATTTGAGCTTTTAAAAGAAAAACTTGGGCAACCCCCTTGAGTTCCCTTCCACTGTGGGAGC